CGACCTGCTGGGCTCCGGTGATCCTTCCACCTCAGCCTTCCAAGTAGCTGGAACTACAGGCGTGCGCTACCATGCCCAGCTAATTATTTATTTATTGTAGAGATGAGGTCTCGCCAAGTTGCCCACGGGCTCAGGCAATCCACTCACCTCAGCCTCCTAAAGGCGCGGGATTACAGGCTGAGCCACTGAGTCCGGCTAAAAGGACTAACTTCTAAGCTGGGCACGGTGGCTCACACCTTTAATCCCAGCACTTTGGGAGGCTGAGGTGAGAGGATTACCTGAGTCCAGGGGTTCAAGACCAGCCTGAGCAACATGGCGAGACCTCATCTCTACATACATCAAAAAATTAGGTGGGCTTGGTGGTACACGCCTGTAGTTCCAATTACTTAGAAGGCTGAGGCAAAAGGATTGCCTGAACCCAGCATGGTCGAGGCTGCCTTGGCCGTGACCGTGCTACTGCACTCCAGCTTGGGAGACAGAGTGAGACTCTAACTTTAAAAAAAAAGAGTGACTTCTTCTGCTCTTCCCACCCTCTCCCTAGTCTAACAGAGATGCCCACATTGCAACAACCAGCAAGAAACTGACGCCTGTCCCAGCCTCTGGAGTGAGCTGGGTGCCACATCCTCCCATAGTGGGCCTTGAGGTGACTGTAGCCCTGGCTATACCTTGATTGCAGCCTTATGAGAGACCCCACATGAGAGGCATCCAGCCACGCCTGGATTCCTGACCCACAGAAACTATGAAGTCATAAATGTTTATTGTTTTAAGCCTCTGAGTTTTGGGATAATTTGTTATGTAGCAATAGATGACTAAGACAAGGTCCAGTAGGGCAGGATCCCTGTTTGTCTTATTCACATTGTCTCCACACCTAAAAAAATACCTACACACAGTAGGTACTCAAGAATACTTTCAAATGAAGAAATGAATTTCAGGACTTTCACTGGGAAGATGACCTGTTTTTCTCGGGACGGTGTGGGGTGCACGTGGAGTCCCAGGCCTACTGTGGCCACCCCATTGCCATTTGTGACACCAGCCTGATCACAAGGCCAACACAGAGGGGCAAATCTAAGAAAACAGCAGAGTTGCAAAGCCAGAGCCCCAGTGAACACATCTACCCTACCTGTACTTTTTTTTTTTTTTTTTTGACTCCTTGAGCAAAGTTTAAGCTAGTTTGAGTTGGGTTTTCAGCAGCTTGAAACCAAAAGCATCCTAACTCTTGGGCTGATGTATAAGTTGACAGCATTTGCTTTGGGCATGGCAACACTGTGGTACTGGGAATTAGTTTGTCGTTTGTCATTTGGAGTGACAGTGTTGTGCTTGTAAATAACACCTTGCATTTTGCAGATTTGAAGAGAGTTAGTGCTACTTGTGGGCTAAAGAAGATGAGGTGTCAAGGGGGAAAAAACAAACACTTCCAACATAGTCTTCTGTTTGAATTTAACAGACGAGTAAAGGCAGCGGAGGCGGCTTAGAACACTTGTGCCATGTGTTGGGAGAATGCCACTGGGGAAAACACGGCAAGAAAAGGGTTTTGTCATTCCAAAGGGGGCCACCTTGACCTAAGTGATTTTCCATATTCAGGAAGACCATCAGAATTTGATGAAGACGGTTTAAACGCTTTAATTCACGTTCGTGGTGATTCATGTCAATCAACCTGAGACTTGGCTAAACCAGTCGACCATCTTGTAACATTTACATTCCCCGGGCAGGCCAAAAACACTGCAAACTTACGCATCAGCACGATATGACGGTTTTCATAGTATTGCTCTCTCCTTCTTTCTCTGTCTTCAAATGTTCTTCATCTTTTTCTTTCCTCATGCCTACACCCCTAATGACAAGATTACAGCAGCCTACCCAGTTTCCACTTTTCATTTCCTACCAAGAAAACCTAATTTAGCTGGTGCAGTAAGCAACCTAATTCAGGAAATATCTTCCCAGCCTCCCATGAAGATAGTTCTAAGTTCTGGCCAATGTAAGCAGAAGGTATGCAGTGAGTCTTCTGGAAAGACTTCCTTAAAAGCAGGCTCAGCTGGGCTCGGTGGCTCAGCCTATAATCCCGCGCCTTTGGGAGGCTGAGGTGAGTGGACTGCCTGAGCCCGCGGGTTCGAGACCCGCCTGGGCAGCGAGACCTCATCTCTACCATAAATCAAAAAATCAGCCGGGTGTGGTAGCGCCTGCCTGTAATTCTGGCTACTCGGAAGGCTGAGGCGGATCGCCGGAGCCCAGCAGGCCGAGGCTGCGGTGGCCGGGAGCAGACACTGCACTCCGGTCTGGGTGACAGAGTGAGACTCTAACTCAAAAAAATAAATAAATAAATAAGGTAGGCTCACTTGGCTGGCAGATACCTTTTTCCTTTGACCTCTTCCTTTTTCCTGCTGCCTGAACCAGGATGGTGGACACTAAAGTGGCCATTTTGTGAAACTGAAGCAAATTTGAGGAGGAACCACACACACTAAGTAGGGTGGAAGAAAAAGAGAGAGCCTGAGACTCTAATGAAGCCAACATACCCTGAAAACCTGTCCTCTGAACTCTGGAATGAGAAAAGACGATCCTAATTCTGTGCCTGTCCTTTTCTGTTATGTGGAGCTTAACATAAACCTAACTGGTATCACCCTTCAAACGTGGCATTTCCAGGGTCTGTCGTTGCTTTCTCTTTTCTTTTCTTTTTTTTTTTTTGAAACCTTAAAATCCCATAATGTTTATTATACAGGTAAACCCTGATCCCTGTGATGGGCTTCTCGGTAAGATTTCTGGTAACGGGCGCGGGCACCGGGATCTCCAAACTTTTTGGATTCACAGCGACGGGGGTCAGCTACCAGCAGTGTCCGGTCCTACTGAATAAGAATGTCTTTGATCTCCGTCTTGGAAGCCTCATCCACATATTTCTGGTAATAGGCCACAAGAGCTTTGGAGATGGACTGACGAATAGCATAAATCTGGGCCAGGTGACCACCACCCGTCACCCGGACACGGATATCCACGCCAGCAAACCGCTCCTTGCCCGGAAGCAGAACTGGCTCCAGTAGCTTGCACTGCAGCGTGCGCGGCTCGATCCGCTCCAGGGGCCGCCCGTTCACCTCGATGAGGCCGTTGCCGCGTTTGCAGTGCGCCACAGCGGTGGCCGTCTTCTTTCGTCCGAAGACCTGCACGGACTGCAGAGGGCCCTTGGACGGCATGGCTGCAGGCGGGGACGAGAACTCCTCACCGCGCGGCGCAGAGCCGGAAAAGCGCTTTCTCTTTTCATACTGCACCCTTTCCCCAGGTGATCTCATCTACTCCCAGGATTCGGGAACCATCCTCACACCAAGGATTCCCAAAGTGATGTCTGCACCGCCTGCCTGTCTCCCAAGCGCCTTGCTGAGTGACTCCTAAGTACCCAAACTGGATGGCCTTAGAAGCATCTCTTGGGGAGAAAGGCTTGGATCGTGGAGCCAGACAGCCACAATTTCGAATCCTGCCTCTATCGTTCTGAGTAACTGTGAGTGAGCAACACCATCTCTGAGCTTTAGGTTTCTTATCTCTGAAATGAGCACAATACTGCTTCATAGGGTTCTTTTTTTTTTTTTTTTTTTTTGAGTTGGAGTCTCAACTGTGTCGCCCAGGCTGGAGTGCAGTAGCACACTCACGGCCACCCCAGCATCAACTTGCTGGGCTCCGGCGATCCTTCCGCCTCAGTCTTCCAAGTAGCTGAACTACAGGCATGCGCTACTATGCCCGGCTAATTTTTTTATTTTTATTGTAGAGACAAGGTCTTGCTAAGTTGCCCGGGCTGATCTCAAACCCGCGGGCTCAGGCAATTCAGTCACCTCGCCTCCCAAAGTGCTGAGATTACAGGCTGAGCCATCGAACCCAGCCCAAAGGTTCTTTTTTTAATTTTTTTTTTTTGAGTTGGAGTCTCACTCTGTCACCCAGACTGGAATGCAGTGGCCACTCCCA